CCTCGTGCGCAGAGTTTGCGATTTCCACGGCCATGTTGTCGCCCATAGCCAGCGCGTTCAAGCACGGGGAAACATCCACGCCCTCGAGGTCAGGGCGCCACGCATTGAATGCCTTGAACCGCGCACTGGGCAGCCGCACGCGGAGGGCATTGCGCTTCGCTCGAGCTGGTGGCACCTTAAAGGTGTAATAGAACTCGCGTAAGTCATCGCATGACACCACCAACCACTCGCCTGCAGCGAGACCCATGCGGCAGAGCAGGAAACCCTGCCCAAGGCGCTGAGTGCTGGAAGAAATGCTCTGACAGCGACTGTTCACCACCGTGGGATTAAGAATCAGCCGATCGTACTCGCTGTCCTTGGGGACCCTGAACGCTCCGCAAGCCTCATCCCAAGCCAGGTCTGAGGTGGGAGTCAAGTACAGGGCGCCGCAGGAGTCCCACTTCCGAAGAAGCTCCCACAGCTGATCACGGTCCATGTGGACGCGGGCCCCCGGGAGGCCCGATGGCCACTCGGCCGACGGAAGACGCATGGTTTCGGGGTCGTGAAAAGCTTTGCGGACCCGCGCGTCGGCGAGGAAGGGAGTGGGATCAAACGTCGGAGAATAATCCCACTTGATGCGGGACGCCCTGACTCGGAGGTCGAAGGGCTCAGACTGGGTGGAGTCCCAGCCTGCCGCTGAAGCCAACGATCCAGGCACAGGAGGCGCGCTGGACGGGCATTGCCGCATGGGGGCGGGCACCTGGGAAGAGGAGGTGAAGGAAGCCTCGATAGCTGCAACATGGGTGGCCAGGCCATGGAGCGAGACTTCAGTGGCGTCGAACTTGGAGAAAGCCCGACCTAAGTCGCTCTTGCCGCCGCGGGCAAGGCGAACTGCGATCCGACACAACCGCTCGAGGCGGTCGCGAGTACCCTCCTGGCAGGGCGTGGCCGCTGTGCACACATGGGCCTCGATGGGAGCGAGGCTGGGATGGCCCAAGGTGAGCCAGTTTAGCGCAACAACGGCGTGCTGTGCTAAGGTGCGCGCTGCGCGCCTCAAGCGCCACCGCTCGCGCGCGCGACCCGTCAAGGTTACAGGAGGCGGCGGCAGAGAAGGCGCTGGAGGGCACGGCCAAGGATCGCGGGGAGGCGGCTCCAACACGTACGAGCCGTCCCGGGCCGACGCGCTGAGGGAGGTGCGGGTGAAAGACGACAGAGAACAACGAGCACCCATCCCAACCTGAGCTAAAGCAGCAGCCCAATGGGTGATATCGATGTTCGCGCCAGGAAACAGGCGCAGCAAGGCAGAAAGGTCAGCGACAAAGGGCGCGACCTTGGGAAAGGAAGGCGTGGTGCCGGTAGGTGCAGACGGCCTCGAATCCCCCGCGGACAAGTCAACGCGAGAGGCTTCGGAACTGGCAGCGGCCCCTGAGGACAGGTCAACTCGAGGGGCCGGTGGCACGGTAGTGACCCCGGAGGACAAGTCGACTCGAGGGGGGTTCCCACTGGCAACAGAACCGATGGAAGCGACGGGCGGTGCGCCTGAGTCCCCGTCGGAAGGGGCTTCGGCAGCACGGTGAAAATTGCCAAAATGGCCACTCGGCCCTGAAGGGGAGCCAGGGGTAGAGCGAGAGTCGCGACAGCGGCACGAACTCCTCCCTGCGGGGCCGCAACAGCATCGCTGGAGGAGCGCGTGCCTACTCTCACGGCCTCGCTCAGCCCAGGCACGCCTGGCAGCAGCAGCGTCGTCGCTTACAGCGACTCGCCGCTGCGTGAACCCTCGGCCGGTGCACGCAGCTCGCGTGCGTCCACCCCTGTGGTGGGATGCGCCGCCGTGGAGGGCGGCTCCGCCGGCGGCCTGGGAGCCGGCGGAACGGGCGCGGCAAGGGCCTGCCGCCACCCGCACCAGGTCACGCGACACGGGGGGGGCTTGATCCCCGTGAGGAACCATGCGGTTCCGAGGTAGCCGCGGCCCCCCACCAGCTGGACGATGAACATGCACCGCTGCAGCGCCTCCCGCTGGCAGATGAAAGCCAGATCGAGAGCCCTCTGGGGCGCCTCGGCAGGCAGCCCCAGTGCGTCCCCTGCGACCCCCTCGGCGGAGCCGGCGACCGCAGCGGGGTCGGCCCGCCCAAGTGGCGGGGGGACGCGCGCGGGAGGGGCAGGCGGGAGCGCCTGCGGAGGGGCGTTCGACCGAGCCTTCCCCCACGCTGAGACGAGCGCCGAAGCTGGGGTCCCAGCGCGCAGCTGGACGCGATGAGGTGGCGCAGGTGCCCTGGCCAACGTGGCCGCGATCCCGAATGGCTGAAAACCCAGACGAACCGCCACGTCGGCGAAGGGCTGGAGCGCCTCTAGCCTCGCGGAGGGCGCCCCCAGAGCGACGCGAGGCACACGGCCGTGACGGCGGCTCCAGCCCTGGTGGGGGCAGGAAGCCTGGAAGACACGGCGAAGTGGCCATAGGACAGCTTTGCGGCGGCGTGCCCAAATCGCGAGCTGCGGCGGGGGCTGAGGGATCGGTGCGACCCGTGCTCTGTGGCGCCGAAGCAGCGGCGCCCGGCAGGCAGGTACCAGCTACCCCGAAACCATCTGCAGCAGCAGCAGAAACATGTCGCGTAGCGCCTGACAACAAGGGGGCCGACACTGGCAGGGACGCGGGGTCCGTCGACGCCGAGGTTGGATTCCCGAGTAGCCCGAGCGAGTGCAAGATGGCGTGGGCGCTCGCACGGGAGGCACTGACCGCAAGCGGCTCCCTTGGAGGCAGGGGTGAGGCCCCTAGGCAGGGGATCGCCGACTGCCCACTTCCGCTGTCAGGAAAAGGAAACCCAACCGCGGCGTCGGTCGCGCAACGGTTGTGCGGCGGCGGCACCCGAGCGCCCGCCTCCAGGCTAGCGAGGCAGGGAGATGGCCCCACCTGCCAGACCGCAGGGCCCGACAGCGCCTCAAACCCAGGTGGCGGGTGGAAGGGCAACACTGTCGAAGCGCCCCCTGGCGTAATCGCTGGCGCTAGTGCCGGCGGAAGCGCAGGCGTCGGTGCTGCCGCCGTCTGTGCTGGCGTCAGGGCTGGCGTCGGCGCTGGCCTCGGTGCTGGCGTAGGCGCTGGCGCTGGTGCCGGCGTAAGCGCAAGCGTCGGTGCTGACGCCGCCAGGTGCTGGCGTTGATGCTGACGTCGGTGCGGCGCTGGCGCTGGTGCTGGTGTAAGCGCACGCGTCGGTGCTGCCGCTGTCCGTGCTGGCGCTCGTGCAGGCATCGGTGCCGGCCTCGGCGCAGGAGGAGGCGCTGGCGCTGGTGCCGGCGTAAGCGCAGGCGTTGGTGCTGCCGCCGGCAGTGCTGGTGTTCGTGCATCAAAGCCAGGCGGTGGGCCCATCCGCCAAGCACGCGGCTGTAACGGCGACTCCAACCCAGGGGGGGGCCGGAAGCTGGCGCGAGTCGGCGAGGCGGCTCTGGGACTGCTCCGCGGTGGCCCTGTGCGCTCGGCACGCGTCTGTGACGGCGGCTCCAACCCTGAAGGGAGCTGGAGTCCCGAAAGCGAGGGCAAAGCTGCCTTGGGACCGTCTCGCGGCGGGGTGCTAAGCTGGTTAACTGCGGTGGCGGCTGGGGGAGCGGCACGAACCCCTCCCTGCGGGGCCGCAACAGCATCGCTGGAGGAGCGCATACCCACCCCCTCCAAACCGCCAGAATCCACAGCGCCCGCCGCTACAGTAGGCGGGGGAGGCACCGCGCGCGACAGCTCGTGGGTGATTGCCAAACGAACAGAGCTCCCGCCCCGCCTGGTTTCGACAACCGACGGCTCCGACCCTGGAGGGGGCCGAAAACCCGCGGGAGCGGGCGAGGCGGCCAGAAAACTTGCTCGCGGCGGGCGGCCAGACTGGTGAGCCAGGCCGACGGTTGAGTGGGCGGCACGACCCCTCCCCTGCGGGGCCGTAGCAGCATCGCTGGAAGGGCGCATGCCAACCCCCTCAAATCCGCTGGGTCCCGATCCGCCCGAAGGGCCCTGGGCGCGCGCGCGCCTGTCGTTGCCCACGCGAGGGAAACGATGCCGCGAACGGCAGCTGAGCCATGGCGAAGCGGCGACTGGAGGGGGAGGAGTAGAGGGGGAGTGGAGAAAGAGAGGGTCCACCGACTCCGACTCCTCCGTCCTGGACGCCGTTATCTTCGCGCCGGCGGCCTCTCCGCCTGTTGCCAGGCGGGCGGTGTTCCGAGAGGCGGCGGCGACACTCGTGGCGCGAGCAATAGACCGTTCGGCGGCGGGCGGGCTCGACCCTTGAGTGGCGCCGGCAACGGGCGTAGCGCGAGCACTCTTCTTCCGGGCCGATGGCGCGGCCTCCTCGTGATGCGAGGGAACTCCACCTCCTACTCCTCTCCTCAGATGGGCGTCCGCTCCGGGGTCCAAGGGGAAGAGGCAAGAGGAAGGAGGGGAGTTTTGTAGCGGCGAAAGGGAGGCAGGCGCCATCGGATGCCGAGCCTGCGGGACGGGGCTCAGAAGCCAGCGTCACACGAGCAGCAGCTGCGGCAGGCGCGGGAGGAACCCGCGAGCAGGTCAGACGCCTGCCTGGACGGCCTGGCTGGGGCCACGCCCAGATGACACGGGCGCGCACTGCCAGGGGGGCAGCGGCGCCCGAGCGGAGAGTGTGCACACTCGCCGCTGCCGGGTGCCCACAGGAGGCAGCCGGCCCACCCCCACCCGAGCTCTGACTGGCGGGGTGAAAGAGCGACCCCGAACCAGCCAGATCACGGAGGAAGCGTTGGGACCCCTGCCTGCGGCAGTGGCCCAAAGCAGCTCGTAGCCCAGCAAGTAGAACACCGCCGCGTAGGTGAAGAGGAACCTGCGCGGCGGTGGCAACCGCAAGCCCCCTGGCGCCCTGGCCGCGCGCGCGCGCGGCGGGGGGAGCGGGGGGCGAGAAGAGCAAGCTTGGGGCCGAGAAGCTGCAGGACCTGAACGGGCGCGAGCGGCAAGGAGAATAGAGAAGCGCAGGAGGAGGAGGAGGAGGAGGAGGGAGGAGGAGGAGAGGAGAGGAGGAGAGGAGGAGGAGGGAGGAGGAGGAGGAGGGGAGGACGAGGAGGGCTCTCCTCGCCCGCGGCGCACGGCGCGCTCTCCTCGCCGCTGCCCCCCTCGCTCGACGGCGCGCTCTCGCGCCGCGGGCGCGCCCGCGCCCATCGAAGCAGCCCGCCCGCCGCCCCTGGCCGCGCGCGCGCGCCCACGCCGCCGCGTCGTCCGAGAGCCCTCGCGGTCGCCTCGGCGGGCGCGCCGGCGCCTCGGCCGGCTGCCCCCGCGAGGCGCGCCGGACGCGCGCGCCCGCGCCGAGGGGGCCGCGGTCGGTGAGGAGCCAGGCGTCCGAGAGTCGGCCCAGGTCCGGCAGTGGGCTCCACGCGCGGCGGGCCGGGGGGCGCGGAGACGCCATGCCGCCAGGAGAACGTGGGCCAAGAGGAGCAGTGGGCCAGAAAGGCTCGAGACGAAACAGCTACGAGAGGGCCCTGGAACAAGGGGGGAGTGCTGGCTTAGTCGGTCACGCGGAGGTTGCCGGCGCAAGTGGCGCCAAGGCCCACTGGCCCCCTCGGACCTCAGAGGCCACGTGGTCATGGCCCGCCAGGGGGTTTCTCACGTCTTTGTGCTCGCCTTCCCCCAGCAGACCTCCAAAGGCAAATCCAGATCGCCCTGAATGGTTCACATAGACACATTCGGATACAAGATGTCTCCGTCCGTACGTCCGTGAACGATCTTCAACTCAACCGTACCAAACGCCGCCCATTGCAGAATCCTGGGTGCACTTTGCGACACGCTGTAATGATAACCTCTAACTTGCCTGGCATCTGCCCAAAACCCTGCGGCGTTTAATCCATGGGCTAGAGCCACGCGCGCGTTTAAGTTCTGCTGCGGGGCTGGCCAATGTTACAAGTCGATGGATCTCCAGACAGAAGTCCGTGACGGCCACTGAATTCTCAGCATTTTCGCATTGACAGGTCCTGCTACATTGTCGCGTGGCGCGCTTCATTGCAGTCGTGCAAAAGTACATGGATTCACCCATACACCCGACAATAAAATCAAGTGCATTTTGGATGCGCAAGATATGTTATGCAGACATGAGCACTTCGTGCAAACGCCACGCACGCCACACGCACCGCGCGCGCAACGCATCCCGTCTCCAGGGTGTCGTTGAGCAGTCCCCATGCCTTCCCCCAGCCATGTTCGGACGGTGTTTGAGCCTGGTGCACTCATGTTGGAAAAGGCCGTGTTGTACTTTGTTTAGAGCCAGGATGGGGGCCTCTGGCTGTCACGGGGCAGCTTGGCCGTCGTAGGGGTCCACTGTGGCGGCATACTGCGCCGTCTTGGGGCTCTCTTGGCCCTGTCTCTTTGGCCACCCGGGTCCGCTCCTGGCCGCCACGAGACTCTCTGATGCGACATCTTGGGCCGTAGCGGGGCTCTGTCGGACCGTCGCGAGCGCCTCCAGGAGGCCTCTTGGGGCTCTCATCTGCCACGTTGCGTTCTTCTCGGGACGGCGCGGGCCCTTTCTGGGCCCCTGGAATACAGGCTGAAGAATATTGGAACCATTTGGGGTGCCTCGCGGCCTGTCGTCGGCGCCCTGATCGGAAGCGCAAGTACATGATACTAGAACCACGCGCGCGCTTCGCGCGCGCTTCGGCTCTAGCGTGTCACAGACACAGGAATCGCTGTGCGAATAATGCTTGGAGTTTGTCTCAGGCAAGCGAGGACTCCAGTGGCAACACCTGCTTGGGGCACCGCCGGGGACGGACCCTGTGTAGAGTATGAAAAGTCGGACCAGCTCTCCGGTCGACCCTGTTGGGCGCGCCCTGGGGCTCTATTGGGCCGTTTTGGGGGGCCCATTGGGGACTTGTTTCGGGGCCTCTTGCGGTGTTTTTGTCGGGTCTCTTGGGGGCCTCTTGGGTTTTTTACCTAACAGCGAAGACTGATAGGTTTCTAGTAGGGTCAAAAGAGCATCATGACTCCCCAGGGGGGTCTGGGCGGGATCCGGCGATCTGCCGGCGCTCTGCCGCCGCCACCCAAATCGCCTGAGACTTCCTCGCAAAATCGCTCTTGGCGCTCCCAGAACTCCATTCCCGGGCCACATTTTGAATGCCCGGAGCCAACTGTAGGCCACTTCGTGCTCTTCGACTTCCCAGAACTCCATTCCCGGGCCACATTTTGGATGCCCGGAGCCAACTGTAGGCCACTTCGTGCTCTTCGAGTTCCCAGAACTCCATTCCCGGGCCACATTTTGGATGCCCGGAGCCAACTGTAGGCCACTTCGTGTTCTTCGAGTTCCCAGAACTCCATTCCTGGGCATGATTCCCGGAGCCAACTGTAGGCCACTTCGTGTTCCCCAGAACTCCCGGGCCATATTTTGAATGCTGAGGCAGGCTGATGCTGAGGCTGAGGCAGGCTGAGGCTGAGGCAGGCTGAGGCTGAGGCCGAGGCTGAAGGCAGACTGAGGCTGAGGCTGAAGCAGGCTGAGGCTGAGGCTGAGGCAGGCTGAGGCTGAGGCTGAGGCAGGCTGATGCTGAGGCAGGCTGAGGCTGAGGCTGAGGCTGATGCAGGCTGAGGCTGAGGCAGGCTGAGGCTGAGCCGAGGCTGAAGGCAGACTGAGGCTGAGGCTGAAGCAGGCTGAGGCTGAGGCTGAGGCAGGCTGAGGCTGAGGCAGGCTGAGGCTGAGGCTGAGGCAGGCTGAGGCTGAGGCTGTGACTGTGACTGCCGTTGCCTCTGCGACTGTCATCGCGAATGCGACTACGACTGCGAGAACAGCAGAATTCTACAACTGGATTCTCATCTGAATCTTAAGGGGAATGCTTCCAGATATGCTCCTACACATCGCTGTTAGGTTGCTTTGCCGGGATAATTTTAGACGTTTCTTGGAGCCTCTTGGGATCTCCTGGTGCCCTCTTGGGCCAAAACGCTCGAATCTTCGGTTCCTCGTGGCGCCAACTTGGGGCGTTCTTGGGCGGTTTGGGCGCCTCGGGGGCCGTCTTGGCCCCCTCGTGGGCCGTCTTGGAGCCCTCTTGGGGGCATCCTCGACCAGCTTGGGTGCCTCTTGGGCTGTCTTGGACGCAATGGGAGCCCAAAAGGCGAACACGCCAAAAATATAGATTTTCCGACGGGAAATCGATTTGTGCTTCTTGGGGCTCTATGGGGGTGCCCCTTGGGGCGTGCTCGGGGCCTCTTTTTGTGTTTTTGCGGGTCTCTTGGGGGCCTCTTGGGGGCCTCTTGGGCGTTCTTGGAGCCTCTTGGGGTCTCCTGGGGGCCTCTTGGGCCAAATGGCTCGCATTTTCGGTTCCTCGTCCCCGTCTTGGGCGCCGACTTGGGGCGTTCTTGGGCGGTTTGGACGCCTCGGGGGCCGTCTTGGCCCCCTCGTGGGCCGTCTTGGAGCCCTCTTGGGGGAATCCTCGACCGTCTTGGGTGCCTCTTGGGCCGTCTTGGACGCAGTGGAGGCCCAAAAGGCGAACACGCCAAAAATAACAGTTGTCCGATAGGAAATCTACGATTTTTGTGCATTTGGGGCTCTATTGGGGTGCCTCTTAGGGCGTCTTCGGGGCCTCTTGTGGTGTTTGTTCGGGTCTCATGGGGGCCTCTTGGGGCTTCTTGGGCGCTTCTTGGAGCCTCTTGGGGTCTCCTGGGGGCCTCTTGGGCCGAAAGGCGGTTCCTTGTCCCCGTCGTGGGCGCCGCCTTGGAGCGTTCTTGGGCGGTTAGGGCGCCTCGGTTGGCCCCCTCGTGGGCCGTCTTGGGACCCTCTTGGGGGCATCCTCGACCAGCTTAGGTGCCTCTTGGGCCGTCTTGGATGCAGCGGAAGCCCAAAAGGCGAACACGCCAAAAACATAAGTTCCCCTGCAGGAGATCAACGATTTTTGCTGATTGGGGCTCTCTCGGGGTGCCTCTCGGGGCGTCTTCGGGGCCTTCGGGGGCCTTCTTGGCGTCATGGGAATCGTCTTGAAAGGCATCCCGAGCCATCGAAGCGCGTTTTCGAGCGTTCCGAAGCCATCTTCGGGCGATCTTGGACGGCCCCCGGCGCTCCGGCAGGGCTCCCAGCGCGCCGGGCCCCACATTTGTGGTGGGGGTCCCGGCCCCCAGCCCCCAGACCCGGTCCCCCGTTATATGTATTAATCGCAACAAACAATTGCACCTAGTATCTTGCACTTGCGTCTAGTAGGGGCTTACATGCGAACCCTACCCCTACCCCCCACGATTTCTGAGGGGGAGGGTGGGGTTCACTTCGTTCGGGAGCTCCCGAGCGAAGTGAACCCCATGAACCCTCCCCCTCAGAAATCGTGGGGGTGGTAGGGGTAGGGTTCGCACGTGGCCCCTTATCTAGAGCTCCGACGACTCCATTTTTGCACGGCACGGCACCGGCGCGCCAACCCAGCCAAGACAACCGCGCCCCCCTGCCCTCCGGCAGCCAGCCCAGCTCCTCCTCGCCCCCCGGCCAGCGCGCCCCCTCCGCCCCGACCGCCGTATGCCGGCACGGCGCGGTAGCAGCAGCGACCCCCCCCCCCGTTCACCCCCCCGCGGCCAGCCCAGCTCCTCCTCCTCCTCCTCCTCCTCCTCGAAGCCCACTGGGAGAGTTCTTACCTAACAGCGAAGACTGATAGGTTTCTAGTTGACTCAAAAGAGCTCACAGATCACTCCACAGGGGGGTCCGGGCAGGTGTTGGGGAGTTGCCGGGCGGCAGGGTGCCGGGCTCGTTTTTCACCAACAGTCACACACTTCGTGCTCTTCGACTTCCCAGAACTCCATTCCCAGGCCACATTCTGAATACCCGGATGCAACAGTCACACACTTCGTTCTTCGAGATCCCAGAACGCCATTCCCGGGCCACATTTAGATAACCGTAACCGGATGCAACAGTCACACACTTCGTGCTCTTCGACATCCCAGAACGCCATTCCCGGGCCACATTTAGAATAACCATATGCAACAGTCACACACTTCGTGCTCTTCGACATCCCAGAACGCCATTCCCGGGCCACATTCTGGAGGGCCGGATGCAACAGTCACACACTTCGTGCTCTTCGAGTTCCCAGAATTCCATTCCCGGGCCACATTTTGGATGCCCGGAGCCAACTGTAGGCCACTTCTTGGTCTTCGAGTTCCCAGAACTACATTCCCGGGCCACATTTTGAATAGCCAGACGCTTCGTAGTCCTTCCGCCACAGCCGTGTTTGGTTCAGGAATTGCTAGTGACACAGCAGTCCACTGCATTCAATCGTGCCACTGCATTCACTCACTGCAGTCCACTCAGTTTCGATTGCAATGGCGTTCCCCTGGCCGTACCCCCATACCCAACGTTCATCCGCAGCCTCTGCTCCGCGAGG